TTCGTATTAGAGTTAAAAAATGAAACCAATTTATTTTACCAAAAAACCAGTATACCAATGATTCACTATCAGTACACCATTGAAGATTAGTTTTATTTATAACTTTAGTTTTACTATCAGTGTACCAGTTTCACCTGGTGCACTATTGAAGATTAGTTTCACCTGCAACTCTAATCTGTATTGTTTTTATAAAATTATTTAATTTGAATTATATTGCTAAATAAAAATTTTCTTATTAAAAAAAAATAGGTATTTCCAGAATATTTCATGAATTACCTAATTTACATACTAATGTATATTTATTGCAGTATGCTAAAAATTTTAGAACATTGACAAATATTGCAGTGGGTATAAAAGAGATGGTTTATTGCACCTTCAAGGCAATGGTTTTGCATACTAATTATAAAGCTGTCAACCTTGACCTTACTAGATGCTACAATATAATACAAGTATTAAGACATGTTATTGATGGTTTTAAAAGCCCCTGGTTTAGTAATAATACTAGTACATTTTCCAATATTACTATAGATCCATATCTTTATAAAATTTTTTCAAACTGGTATGCTATAAAAAATTCTTTATCATATTTGCAGAATAATGAAAATGAAAGTGAAAGTAAATAAATTTAATTTTTTTTATTTATAACCTCAAAATAATGAATATGGGTATTACTTCAAAAATTGGTTAGTTTTAAATATAATGCTGACAAAATTTAGAAAGGTAAAAATAATTTACTGGCATCTCATTTCAAGCCTTACTTCAATAATCATTTCACCAATAGTTTATTTAGTCAATATTATACAAAGTAACAATTTACCAAAAATATATCATATACATATTCTATATGATGTTGACTAAATAAACTTTTGGCGAAACAACAGTCAGTAACACTATTTTGAAATAATACTCATAGGTATCTCGAAATAATGTGCATCTTAGTAATCAGATTTACTTGAAATGTATAAATAATTAAAATAATATGCAATGCCTGTTATTTTGAGATTTTATAGTTTTATTTTACTTTGATCATTATTAATACAATTAGAGTTTGAAACCAGTTTTATTTTTTATATTTTAAATCTAGATTTAAAATATAAAAAATAAAACTGGTTTCAAACTCTAATTGTATTAATAATGATCAAAGTAAAATAAAACTATAAAATCTCAAAATAACAGGCATTGCATATTATTTTAATTATTTATACATTTCAAGTAAATCTGATTACTAAGATGCACATTATTTCGAGATACCTATGAGTATTATTTCAAAATAGTGTTACTGACTGTTGTTTCGCCAAAAGTTTATTTAGTCAACATCATATAGAATATGTATATGATATATTTTTGGTAAATTGTTACTTTGTATAATATTGACTAAATAAACTATTGGTGAAATGATTATTGAAGTAAGGCTTGAAATGAGATGCCAGTAAATTATTTTTACCTTTCTAAATTTTGTCAGCATTATATTTAAAACTAACCAATTTTTGAAGTAATACCCATATTCATTATTTTGAGGTTATAAATAAAAAAAATTAAATTTATTTACTTTCACTTTCATTTTCATTATTCTGCAAATATGATAAAGAATTTTTTATAGCATACCAGTTTGAAAAAATTTTATAAAGATATGGATCTATAGTAATATTGGAAAATGTACTAGTATTATTACTAAACCAGGGGCTTTTAAAACCATCAATAACATGTCTTAATACTTGTATTATATTGTAGCATCTAGTAAGGTCAAGGTTGACAGCTTTATAATTAGTATGCAAAACCATTGCCTTGAAGGTGCAATAAACCATCTCTTTTATACCCACTGCAATATTTGTCAATGTTCTAAAATTTTTAGCATACTGCAATAAATATACATTAGTATGTAAATTAGGTAATTCATGAAATATTCTGGAAATACCTATTTTTTTTTAATAAGAAAATTTTTATTTAGCAATATAATTCAAATTAAATAATTTTATAAAAACAATACAGATTAGAGTTGCAGGTGAAACTAATCTTCAATAGTGCACCAGGTGAAACTGGTACACTGATAGTAAAACTAAAGTTATAAATAAAACTAATCTTCAATGGTGTACTGATAGTGAATCATTGGTATACTGGTTTTTTGGTAAAATAAATTGGTTTCATTTTTTAACTCTAATACGAATTATGCTAAAACAAAAAACTTAACTGTAATAAGCATATTATGTTTTTGTTTTAATGATACTTGTAACTCTTTATAAATAGTTTTAGCCATAGTTGTTGAAAATTTTAGTTTAAGTGTTTTGGCTTCAACAACCCAGAGAGTGCATAAATATTCAATTTGCTTTTTGCCAGTTTTTTTGCTATTGTTTAAAGACATTAGCTTTTATATTGTGAGGTTTTAGGCACAGTCTAATTATAAATGATATTAGCATTACAAGTATTAAAATATCAAAAAACATAAAGCTATACCAATACCTTAGTAGATTAAGTATCCAATATCAGCAAGTAGATTTTTTGATATCTTTCTAGCATGCTATGAATACTTTTTTGCTATCTGCATTAAATGTGTCAAAAGTTGCATTTAATAGAGTACAGGCTTTCTCTATAAAAAAAAAATTTGTATATAAGTTTGTTTAGAATTTGTTAAAAAAATTAAAATAGAAGCCTTTATAGTCTAGTGATAAGACTTTTGAGTTTTTAATTTAATTATTATTATTATTAACCAATAATTTGATTGTTAACAATAACTCCAATATAGTCAAATTAAAAAAATATAAAATCGTCTAAATTTTCATAAAATTAATATATTATTAATTAGTTTTTAGTTAATAACTCAACTAATCAGTTAATAAAAATTATTAATTATTAATCCAAAGAGTAAAATGTATACGATTAATTTTGGATCTTTTTTATATTAATAATTGTAAAAGGCCTCTATTATAAAATTTTTTTTGATCAATAGATAATAAATTTTTTATAGAGCTTACCAGCCATTGAGTAATAGATATTCTAAGGGGTTTGTATATAATAATCCCAATTTAATATATTCAAAAGTTTAGAAGTTGTTACTAACCCATATAAAGTAGCTATTTGCTCTTTGCTGGTTTTAGTTTGTTGATTTTTAATTTCTAGCAATTGGCTCTCTGTTTGCTGCTAAAATCATGCATGTTTAATATAGTTAAAACTTGGATTTATAAGTTGTTTGGTTAAAACATTGCATATTCTACAACCATGTAGTGCTCTGTGCTGTTTTATACCTGCTAAGCTATTTCCTTATAGTAAATTGGCAGTAATATATCCAATACTATCCATAACCCAAGTTTTCCCATATATTATATACATAATGAGCCCATTTTTCAAATGCTATAGATCATTGACTACTGGTTTAATGAAATCATTAAAATCAGTGCCGAATGGAACCAAGCCAATAAGAAAATAGTTCTTAAACAATTTCTGATCAAACTACTTCATATTATCAATTTGTATATATATACCTCCCAAGGAGTAATAGATATTTCTATAAGTGCTAAAATAGTCTAAATAAATATTCAGAAATATTTTTAACATAGGTATTGGCCATGGTAGTGATTTAATCATGATATTTTTAAAAGGCAATCAATACCTTTAGAAATATCACAATACTCCTAGTGGCTATTGAATTTATACACTATTTCTTTAATATAAAAATCATAATTTTTAGATTCGAATGAGTCATATAGCCAAATATTAACACATTTGCTAATAACTTCTAGATTAATAAATGTTGTATTTCTCTCAACTAGCTACAATTCTTTTTTATTTCTATATATATAGTGATTACTATTAGCTTGACAATTTGGAAAATTCTGATGACTTAAAAGTCGATTAACCTTTAATTTACAGGCTTTATTTATTTCATTAGTTATTATGCCATGTATATAGTATATAAATGTTGATAATGATTCTTTATATACAACAAATTTACCTGAATTGTAGATCTCTAATAAATTAAACTTTAAAATTAATATACAATTAAATGTATATCAAAATTAGAGTAATATGAACTAGTGCTAAGAAAAAGAAACAGATAATAATTATAAAAATTGATTTTCTAAGTTAACAGGAAGAACTGTTAACATTATACAACTAATCTTTCACTTGGTGTGAACCATATAAAAAAATTATTTTACAATACCAGATCATTCAGTTAGTATATATCATGATTATAATCCAATACTATTTTTATTAGTGTTGGATTATAATTATAACATGTACTAGTGGAATGATCTGGTATTGTAAAATAATTTTTTTATATAGTTCACATCAGGTAAAAGATCAGTTATATAATATCAATAGTTCTTTCTGTTACCTTAAAAAATTAACTTTTATAATTATTATCTGTTTCTTTTTCTTAGCATCTAGTCTATATCTCATACTAATCTTTATTGTTGCATATTATTTTATGTTCTCAAAAAGTAAAGAGTCTTGCCAGAGACTTCTATACCAAAATTCAGTTCTTTTTTCTTTAACCATACCAGGTCCAAAGTATAATTTTGGCATAATTATTGGGTTATTTAATATTCTTTCTAAGTATGCTAGAGGATATATTGTATAGTCTTTTTTAATATTTGCAAGTGTTAAAGATGCTTTCTGCTTACAAACAGGTATATTATGCTAATGTATTCTAACTAGGAGCAATCTGTGTCTCTATATGCGAATACGGTGAATATTTGTAACAACTTCTTCCTTACAGAAATTAGAATGTATGAGGATTTTGACAAGATCTTTATATATACTAGTTGCTAGCATATATAGTATACAATAAAAATAAATATTTAAATTTATACTTATTTAGAATTTCAACCCAGATTAGAACCTGTTAGTAAATAAATATATCTAGTTCAAAAAGAAAATTTATTAAAAATTTCCTTTTTAAATTTTAGATGCATGAATTTTATATAACATTACTTACAGATCATATGCTTTGTGACCCAGATATATAATATTGCAGACACAATTGTTAGAAAGTATGAACCATACTATCCATCAAAACCTTCAAATGTTGATGATTCTTTTAAAATTTCATTATTTATTGAAGTATTGTCTATATCTATAATATCAATTAATAGTTTATACCCAGAACCTGTAAAAATATTTTGTAGACAATTGTATAAAATATCCATATTCAAATCATCAAATTGTTTCTTCTTTGTAAAAAAAAAAAAAAAAAAAAAAAAAAAAAAAAAAAAAAAAACATATTTTATTATTTTATTATTGAAAACTTAAAATAATAAATATATACAATAATGAACCTTATCTGTTAATATTTTAGCTTCATTGATTGCATCAGGTTCACTAGTCTCTTCTGCTGCTTGTACTTCTTTACTAGCTTCTTTGTCTGTGTCATCATCATCATCATCTATATTATTACTTTTATCAATATTATTACTTTCATCAATATCAGTACCACCCAGAAGAGCCAGACAAAAACAGCCCTCTAACATCTAATCTGAGTGTTGCTAGCTCTTGCAGAACTATGCGAGCTGGGTATAGAAGACATTTCTCTTGTAGAATTATTTTTAACATCATTAGCCTCTTATGATCTACACACAATATCTCCAACAAATAATATAACTCAACTTACATCAACAACTACCTCTGATGACAAAGATGAACAACTATTCATTTCTTCAATTCTAAACTGCCAACTAGAACCTGATCTACCTCACCTCAAAACAATAACACAAATAACTGAAAATCTCAGAACTATTGATCCTACTATATGCTATAACAGATTTCTCTTCTATTACAAATTACCTTCACTCGAACACCCACAAACAATCTTTACTTTTCTTAAATACCTATGAGATGACTTTCCTCTCTATTACTCACACTCCTATATTAGAATCTCTATCTTAAACAAGAAAGATACTAATGACTAC